CATTTTGTTCCTTATCTGAGTTTATCAACGCCCCCTGCTTTTTGAACTGGTAACCGTTGGAAAAATCTCAGTTGGGCGCTCATCATGACGACGCCCCTTAATCTTTCAATGCCCTTCTGTCTTCTTCCTTCTCAACAAGGTAATAATCTTCCCATATAATTTTATTATATATGATCTTCATGAGCTTAGTGGATGTTATCTATGGTTGTCATTTCGCATCAGGGAGATTAAACGCCATGCATCATTATGAGTACTGACAAGATTTTTTTTTTTTAAATTGTTGTTTTATTAAATTGGATTATTTCACATCCTCCTTTGTCATGGTTATGAACTCAGATGTCTATATAGCAGGCAGATGGTTTTGTCCTCGAGAATCTTCGATATCTGGCATCACTTGTTTGTGATCTTTATACTGATCTTATCGGGAGAAATTTAGCATTAAGACTATCAATTTCCATAAATTCTGTCAAATTATTTCCATGCTTCGTAGAATATTGCAATATCGTAAAGTATACTCATTGGACTCCTCGCATTTGCGTTGTGCACCGGTTTTACTGACCAATTTTTTCTTTTTTTATGACACCTGTTGTTTCTTTGACTAGAAAAGCTGTTTCAAGGATGTCGAGGTGTGGGACTTTTTGCGAGAACAAGCATAAGAATGAATTGTTTGAAGACTGACCAAGACAATGTAGATAAACATACACAAGGAACCAAACGACTTTATCTGGGAATAGACTTCGGCACTTCTGGTGCTCGCTATGTTATTATTGACAGCAAGGGGACAATTCATTCTGAAAAGAAACGACCGTACCCACAAAAATCTGTATGATCTTACTTATAGGAATTCCTCCCCATAATTTTGATCTTAGCTGCATTTTGACATCTTGGCATGTATAGATTGGTAGACCAGAAAAAGTAAAAGTAAATAAAATTATGGTTTTGGATTTTACTTTGTTGCGTATACGAATTGTGGTTCGACATATTATTCCTGAACAAAATAATATATAATTCCTCCTAACCCTTGGTATACTTAACTCTAAGCAGTAATGCGGGTACGCACACATGAACTTTATCTGGATTTAGGAAAAAAATGTCATACTTCTGTGCTTTGGTCTTCATGTGCCCATAGTGTACTCATAGGCTCTTTATTAAATTTTAGTACCCAGTTATTTTAATTTCTCTGCTTTTCTTCGTTTTCTTTTGCTTTGTAGTTTACGTAACATATATTAAATGTTTTGGGTTAGATACTGATTCTATATGAATGGCCTCTTGTTAGTGATGAATGGACAAAGTTATTGTTTTAGTTATTGTTTTCATCGAATGTGCATGCGTAAAAGTATTTTAGTCATGAGCATGCATGCCGTTAAAACAATAAGCCAAAAAAAAAGATTTTTTTTTTTTTGCACCTAATCCGTTTATTTGAAAGAATTTCCGCTGTTAGTTATGCTCCCAAAATCTCATTCTGTTTCTTGATTCAGATCCAGACCCCAGATACCCGTTCTACTGGAGTGCTAATTCTTGTAAATTAGAGATTTTTCATTATCTCAGTTGCTCCATATTCATCAGTGCTCACAATTTCTTTATCCAAAGGCAACGATATCTTTCTTCATTATACTTAACGTGGTTATTATCTGCTTGAAAGTCGTTTCCTGCTAAACTCAGCAACTTGCATTTCACTAGGTAGATTGGGGACACAATAAATTGGACAAGCTCTTGGAGAGAAACCCTTTTCTTGCTTCTTGGGGATATTCCTACCGAGTCTCGTCCGTATATTGCTTCTATATCCATCGATGGGACTTCTGCAACAACCCTGATAATTAACAGGTTGATATATATATATATTTTTTGTTTTTAAGGCTTTCTCTAGTTTCATTACCAACAGTTTCTGAATGTATCGAATATTTAACCACAGCAGCTCGGGGGAGACACTGTCGAGAGCTTTTCTCTATAATGAAAGCTTTCCTGATGCTTTACCTTTCGTTAAGTCCATTGCTCCCGAGAACCACACTGTGTGCTCTAGCTCATCAACATTGTGCAAGCTTGTATCGTGGTGGAACTCGAGAAAGTCAGACAAAGACTCGGCTGCACTAATGCATCAGTCGGACTGGCTATTGTGGCTTCTTCATGGAAAGATTGGAGTGACTGACTACAACAACGCTCTGAAGGTATCGTGGTTGTCATAGTTATTGTCAACTAGTCTTATTTTTTAAAATCTTTTGATGCTGTAAGAAAGATATCTCATCATTATCTTATCATCAAAGCCCTTTCCTATTAAATGGGGAGGCTATGGATGATGACTGAAAATTAAGAAAGCTACGTGAGGTAATTGACCAAGATTTTATGACCGGTCATCAACCTGATGCCAAGCTGTTCCTGGCTGAAGAAGGCTTACCATGAAGTTTTGAACTTATCTCATGCATAAATTAGGCTCGCAATTAGCTGGGTCCAAGCCTGAGTCCAGCTCAGCCTGTGGCCAGGCCAAGACTCTGGCTGAGTTGGGCCTGGCAAGTTACATGACAGGCCAGATTCGGGCCCAACGCGAGCTGGACTGGGCGGCCCAAATCCCGCATCAGATAAGCAAAAAAAAACACAGAAAAACGGTTATATATGTTTGTATACAAATTTGGTGTTCAGCAGCGTATAAAATTTAGCTTGTACAGTGTTATTTTATCCCTTTTTTGAATGTAAGCTGTTTTAAAAAATTCCTTGCTAGCTATGATACCCCGACACGGCTGTAGAGGCGTCGTACCTGTGTCGGGTGCGGTTTGGATACGCCCAAACGGATGGGACATGTGAGCAAGTCATTTCCCATGTGTGAGGGCATTTCTGGAGCAGTTTTGTTTGAGGAAAATGAGTTTACTTTTGAGATTTGAGAGAAACAAGGAAGAAAATGATATCCCTCTCTTATTTCCTTAGTTATTAATTTGTTAGTGGAACATGACATCATCATTCACGTGGGTGCTTGACTATTTATTTTTGTCTTTTCTTTAAAAATAATGACAGTAATAATGATGGAAGACATGTGTTCTCTCTCTCACACACACACAATGCTGATATAGAATATAAAGTCAAAGTTTCAAATGAGTTTACTTTATAATTTTAAGGCATGAGCTTATTTTATTGAGAAGTCAAGATTAAACATAGTAAAATTCTGATAGTTAATATATTTTAAAAATAGAGCCTCAATCACTTTTCACCCACTCCAAAATAGAGGCTCTATTTTCGAGGAGTGATGTAGGGACCAGATTTGTCCACCTCGCTACCAAGTTCAATGAAAGAACTTGGTACCAATGTATATGAGAAATATGAAGAACCTTGGTACCAAGTTTCTCCATTGAACTTGGTAGTGATGTGGACAGATCTTGCCTCTACATCACGCCTCAAAAATAGAGCCTCAATCACTTTTTACCTACCCCAAAATAGAGGCTCTATTTTCGAGGAGTGATGTAGGGGCTAGATTTGTCCACCTCACTACCAAGTTCAATGAAAGAACTTGGTACCAAGGTTCTCTATACTCTCTCTCTCTCCCTCTCTCCCTCTCTTTATTATCTGATTCTTGAAGGTTTCTTTACTTTTACCTTGTTTTTAAATGCATTTTGTGTTTAGACCTCACACCGGTCATTCTTAAAATTCGTGCCGCTACACCTAAACTTTAAAAAGTTATAGTGAAGTTGAGGGTTATAATTTATATTCTAATAGCCAGTCATGAATATGCAGCTTAAACCCATGCCACTCAGGAATAACCGTGCAAATTCCCATAAACAGGATTGTGGAAGAAAAGGATTATACCATTTGCTATAGCAAGGTTCAATCATCTCTATAGCATTTCAGAAACTAAGAGCAAAACAAAAATCACATTCCGAATGAGGTAGACACCTTATATCTTCTCTGCACTGTTATTTTGACCAAAAGGTAATTAGACGCTAGTAGTGTACATTCCTTTATTAAGACTGAACATTGACCCTCATGTATTCATAATTCTGTATTATTTTTTTTTTTGAGAAAAAGGATGGAATACCCCTAAGGTATTCCAGCCAGCTAAATTAAAAGATAAAGTGGTTGTTACAAAAAAAGCTCATACTCCCAACCAAGAGTATGCACTAAAGTTCAAAAGAAAATACTACAAGTAGCAGTACCCCATCCCCTGTATACAACTGGAAAAACGAACATAACCTCCCCCAAATACCTGATATAACAAGTTTGTCAGAAGAAACCAAAAAACAAAACAGAAGAACAAAGCTTCTTTCAAACAAAACCAAGAGCATAATTCTGTATTATTTGATATACTAGTTAAACAAAGTCCAAAGCCTCTCGCTATTCATGTCCTTGTATGTATGTACACATACATACGCAATAGGTACATACATATGCGCATATCCATCTATGAATCTATCTGTATGGATGTTTTTCATGAATTCTTTTAATCCTTTGATTGATTTGTGACTTCCTTTACAAGCTCCTATCCTTTGTTCATGAATCTATCTGTATAGTTGTTTTTCAAGAATTCTTTGAATCTATCTGTGCCAGGTTGGATATGATCCAGAGTCTGATTCGTATCCGAGCTGGTTGCTTTCTCAGCCATTTTCACATTTATTGCCCTCGGTTAAAGCACCTGGGATGCCTATTGGTTATTTGAAGGAAGACATTATATCTCAATTTGGTTCGTCCAGCTCTTACTTTGAAATAAATCATAGTACTTCATTATAATGCTTCGTATGTGAAATCCTTTACAATATTAAACAAATTAGATAGTTAGGTTATGTAGCTGAGTGTTTACTCAATTTGTTTAAGACTTTTAAGAAACCTTGTGGGTGTTGTGGTTTTGTATCCCCCAATTGCCAGGTCATATATAAATTCCATGATGGTTTTTCCTCCCAAACTTAATATGTGAAAACAGGAAATTCAGTTGTAAACAAGAATTCAATTTGTTTTAATGTTTATCTACACGTATTTACTATAGATCAAGATCATCTATATGGCTGTTCATGTAATAGAAAAATTAACATATGATGTAACCTGTCAAAAAATGCCTCGTTATAAATGTTCACTCAAGTCTGCAACTGGTGAATAATTCAAAGTTTGTCTACCGTTTCTTCGTTGGATTAATAGCTGATTCTACTGGATGGCAGGTTACACGTGTTTCTCTAATGAATCTTGATCTACTTTTTTAATATGACAACTCTTAAATAATCTGTTTCTAATGGAAGCATTTCTAATATGTGATAGATTTTCTGATTTAATTTTGTTTAGGATCCCGTCTTTTGACACTTCTGGTTTGCAGAAAGTTAGTAGGACGTTATTTTTCTTTCATTCTTCATACTGAATTATAATTTTTATAAAAAATATTCTAGAAATTAGACAACACTTGCAATACACTTGTGTTCCATTAGCTAATGATTACAAACTAAAATGTTGCATCTCTCTAAAACCACAATCAAAATGTTCATAAAAAAATGGAACATATGAGAAACAAGTGTTATTATCCTACGTGAAATGGCTCTTTTTCGCCTTCTTTATCATCACCACCATTACCTTCACCTGCAAACACCATTGCATCTGATCTGGATTCAGCTCCAAAAGCTGAAACCCATATGCTTTGTTCGTGAGTCAACTGCATCTCCTTAAAAATCCCACATCTCTGAAGCTTCTCATGCAAGAATCGAAGTTGAGCAAGTACGCATAAAAATAATGTTGGTCGGCTTATCTTGATCCCTACTCATGGGATGGATGAAAGATGCATGCTCCAAATTCTATTAGAAAATGAGGAAGATCAAGGTTCCCCGATTATAGATTTAGTGCCAAGGTTGAATTTTATGGTACAAGATCATGTATCACATACCAAAATTGATTCTATATCACCTGTGTAGATTTCGGTGAAATGTGAGTCTATGTATCACACATCAAACTTTTTGGTCAATGTCATAATTTGATTGCACAAAGAGGCATGATCTGAGCATCTCCCAAAGTCACTGAAAGCATAGTTAATTTGTTTCCACTATTCTTCTTTACGGCTGAAATTGAGAATTTTACCTCTTTAGGCATTTACTCTTTCTTTGGAGGTTTTCTCATCCTTCTGTGTTAGAAAACTACGCGTGCCTTCTTCAATCAACTTTGACCAGATCATCTTGACAATAATAGAAGTGAACGATCATCTGAACTGATGCAGGACACAATCACTGTTCAGATTTACTGCTCATCCTAAGTTTCCCGTTGACGATTTTCCATTCCCTGTCATTGAATGGAAGAAGATTTAATATATTAAAGTGGTGTGTGTATAACTAAATTTACCCAGGATTGCATATGTGCAATGAAGTAGATATGTTGTTCTTGTTCCAGCTATGCATTAATAATGTGAACCACCAAAGCAAGGCTACACCAAATCATCATTGAACTCCATATATCCTGTACTAAGTGAAGACAGCAGAAGTCATTAATACAACCGTAAGCATTTCATGCTTTGGCTGTAAATGACAGGAAATATGCTACTCTATACTTCCACTTTTCCTCGTGATGCTCTTCTCCCTCGCAAGCTTTCCCTTCTGTGTTATCCTTTTATGTAGGAGCTCAATTGATCATAATATCTATTTTCTTAAGAGCATGTTTGAGTTAACGAGACTTCTTAGCCATCGGTGTGGGTTTTCTTGTTTTCCCCCTTTTTTCCAAATACTTCAAGAATCAACAATCACAATAACACGAAGGGTAGCAAAGCCTTGACAATGAAAAAGGAAACTTGAGGTTGATAAAATCTCTGAGCATAAAGTTCCTCAATGGGCATTTGTCATGAAATTCTTTAAGTTGCCTTCGTCC